AAAACGCCCACCCCCAATGTCGCGACATGATAGATCCTATATCACGATATGACATGCCCAGCCAAAACGCCAACCCCCCATGTCGTGACATGAACCCCGTAAATTGCGATATGACATACCCCCACAAAATGTCACGCCCCCATGTCACAACATGGATTCCATTTGTTGAGATAGAACATACATGACAGTATATGCTGACCCATTTTCACGACACAAAATCCATTCATCCCGACACGTCCTATCTGGGTATATCATGTCCTGATATGAGACCTTTGTTGCGACGATATACACTGCGCGATATACATGCAATATACACGGGGTCCCGTATCATGACAAGCTGCAGAGTCTTGTCGCGATTGTATCTCACAGTTATGTATTTGGCAACAGCGTGTCATGGTAGGGAAAGCAAAGGAAAACGGACTTGAGCATAACATCCCAGAAGAACGTGCACGCACATATGGGTTTCAGAGGTTGGAGTCAATGCATTGCCCCAAGAGTAATACCGAGTGATGCGCCATGAGAATAAAAACTGCGAAGGTACTAATTGGGTAGGCCTAGGATCAATCAGTCAGTGGCCAATCGTGGCTATGCACATGCGTCAGCCAACCACAACTTTCAACTGCTTTTAATAACGGATGGCTCAGGATAGCTCACATCTTAATGGAAAACACTTTCAGCATCTGTCTATAACTTTCCTTTTGTTCAGTGTTTCCTGGCCTCAGGACCAGCATTAAATAAACAACTGCATTTGCTATTGTATCATGTATCTTATCGCGCCCTGTGACTTACGAGGCCAGATCGCACATCTGACTCATTTACTATGAAGAGGGCACTTCGCCTACAGGCAGTTCACAAGGGACATGAGCATCACAGTGTGTTTCCAGCATTTGTCACTCATCATGTTTTGATCGTTGTAACCACGGTGAGCTGTCTTCAGTAGAGAAGCCTGCCAAGTGAATAAATTGGAGAGAAAGCAATATCTTCACTGGGCTTTTTTAGCACATTGGTCGAGATCACTTGTTTCACCAGCAGCAGTTGCTGATGTTTCCATCTTGGAAGGCCCAGAATTCTCTGTTTAAGGAAATGTTAATGTGTGTGTGTTTCTGTTAACGCAAGTTTCTCGAACTACTGTATCTATTCCTGCGCCAGTTTTGCTTTTACTACCTTTAGGGTCTCAGCCCTGTGTACACTGCTCTTAATGCCCTGTTATCTGTGCCAACCCCTGCCACACATCACGTGCCTGTTCCAGACTGTGCTGGACAGTCATCACATCGGGCCAAGTAGCAGCACATATAATAATCCTTACACTTACTGTACTGTATATAGTGCTTTTCTGGACACTCCACTCAAAGTGGACTCCCCTCCACCTCCACCAATGTGCAGCACGAATTAGCCAGAACGCTCACCACACATCAGCTCTCAGTGGGGAGGAGAGCAGAGTGATGAAGCCAGTTCAGAGATGGGGATTATCAGAAGGCCATGATTGGTAAGGGCCACTGGGACACTGGGGTCATAACACCCCTGCTCTTATACTTTTGTTGCACGCAGAATGATTTGCTGGCTTTCACTGATCTTGACATTAAGGGGAAAAAACTTGAGCCACTTAAAAATAACATTCATTCTGTCTCTGGACTTTGTGTGTTTGAATCTGCAAGGGGCAGCTGGGGTTCAGCCTGCAGAATCTGATATCTCACAATGCTCCAGCATCACTCTTTGCTCTTCCTGTTTTACTGAAGTGAGTATCACGTTTCTATGTAACACGTTTGACGCTGAACAATTCTTCATCCCATTCTTTAGTCCAATTAACCTCACTACATATTGTGTTGTGGCCACGTGAAATCAGATTGCTTCTGTTACAGCTGAGGATGTTCTCCAGCGGGTCCTCACAGACACAGTCCAAACTGACACACTGCACATTGCACATTGACTTACAAACAGACTCACGCAGTTTCCTATGAACTTGATTCCCTCCTTCGTCCTTAATGTAATTTGCCACAAGAAGCAAGTTTTCTTTTGCCACCCAGGGAAATAATGTATAATGTTTCCTGAATGCAAAAGACTCAAATAGCAGTAAAGCTCCTCCACTCTTTTCAATGCCTCCATTTGAATTTTGACAGAATTACCAAAATTCCCAGCCTCTCACAGTGTAATATACTTGATTAGCTAAGCAGCACATCCCGTGCCACTGCTTGTAGCTGTGACAGCTTAATTGTCATCTCCACAAACATTACTGCTCCGTCTTTCTGCAGTTCAGATGCAGTGTTGAGCACCTTGCCTGCCTTCTACAGGAGTGATTTACTCTACCTTCATGGTGTCACTAGAATTAAACTTATGCTCCTAATCTCGCTACACCAGCTAATTATTATTCAAAGTAAAGATATCTCAAATCCACTCTCCTGCCTACAGTTCTGCATAATTTAAGTTTTCATGTTCATTAAGCTTCTTAACCAGCCTTGTGTACCCTGTGAGCTGTCTGTTCGGCTCCTTTCACCACTGACAACTGCATTCTTTTGCCATCCACCTCTGTGAGGGACCCTAAGTGAACTGGAAATTAAATCCTGGGAGTCCTGCACTGTCAATTAACCAACAGCATAAATACTCTCAAGCAATTAGAATTGCCACAAGCACTAATGTTGAAAAACTGTTTTTACGAGGTGCTAAATTAACATTTGAACACAATGAGACTTGAGGAATGGTGACAAAGCACCTTCATAAAGTTTGGTCCTCTGTGTCATTCTGCTCACCGATACTGCTCCCTTTATTGGATTTAGATGATGTTATCCACATCAGTGAATAGTTTATCCTGTCCATCAAATTGAAGTAAATGAACCGTAATTTCATCGCCCAGGTTTGGTTTTACAGTATATCCTTCATTTGCTTCTAGACTACCGATGCTGATGACATGCTGTGAAAGACTGTGGAAGACTATTGGGGTTTCCTGGCCTGTTTGATTTAGTTTGAAAAATAAGTTGTCCCTGTTGCTCTCTACAGCCACAGTCCCATTAGACAGCTAAGGCTATATTTCCACTCTGGACAGTATATCCCTGGGACACCTATAGGTAGCACCCATGCTCTAGAGCTCAACAAGGATCTCAAAGTTAACCAAAGGCTCACACACATTGTCATATGCTACACTTTTTAGCAATCAACTGCAGTTTAATTTGGTCTTAATTAATAAATGTAAACATATTCATTTGCTTCTAGATAATCGAGGCTGCTGCCATGCAGTCAACCATCTTAGTGTATCACAAGCAAATGCTAAATTATTGTTTTATGGGGAGGTTCTTGCTGTGTTCATTGTGAAGCTTAGGGCAAGTTTCTGTAAACATTCCAAATGCAAACATGCTGTGATCAGCTTGGTGATGGTGATGTCACTCCTCATGATTTTCAAGGGGCTTCAGTTGTCCTGAATCTTCAGCTTCAACTTTCGGCACTTCGGACGTGATGATGGTCTAGGCTGTGTGAATTTAGTGTTTGGAAAAGCTACTGAGATAGTGATTTATCTCTTCTTCAGGATCCATAATGAGACCCTTGAAGGACAACTGGATCAATTAGCTTACTAGCAAACGAATGATTTAATATAGATGGGGTTGCATTCTTTTGACTGTTTATCATATCATTTGAGAGAAGGACACTCACGTTGTGGAATTAAACTCCCATTGCTTAGCATGTTGTTCCATATTGATGAATACTGTATGTTTACAATTAAGATAACAAGCATGACACAACCAACAGCTGAAGCTACACACAAGTCAGCAGCTGACAAAACCTGGAATGGCTCAAATCACTATGCAGTAGGAGCTTCATTTCCATTCCTTCAATTGTGCCATGTTTAATTCAGAAAGGAGCTGGAGATGTACTCCAGTTCTATTTACAGGTAGGAGAATGTTTTTAATTCAACATTGAACATCAGCATTTTCAGACAATCAACGAAATGCAGCCAACATTTTCCAGTCTAAAAATAATGGTCATGATGAGACTAAATGAATATTAGGACTGCAAACATTAAGTGGGTAGCATCCTTAAAAAAACAAACTATCTCTGCAGGATATTAATTAGAAATTAGGAAGGTCTCATTTGGATTGATAATGTAAATAGCCAAAGGAAATAAATAATTTAGGAGATTAATGAGTGATAAACCCGTTAATCTAGGGATGAACAGGTCACACTGCCTTTGGCCACGAATTGCTTTTCTTTTCATTTCTCTTCATAAATAGCCACTTTGCTAAATATAGAAAAGGCAGGATTCAGAAATGCGTAGGAGGATCCAGAAATAGAAAGAATATCTGTCTTCATAAAGCATGGAAGTCAGAGATGAGTGGCTTTTAAAAATAGAAAGAGCTTAAAATAGCAGAGTTTCAACAAGTTGCCCTGGCAACTAGAGCATATGTTGTTGCCAGTGAAGCATAGCAGAGAGGTCTGATGTGCTGGAGGGCTGTACCAGTGGGCTGCAGAGGTGCAGAAGATGAATTTAATCGATTGGGGCCTCTTACTATCTCTTACTATTACCATCGGCTTTCAAGGAACACAATGAAACATGAACTGTTTTGCTAAGACTTAAGCGTATTTTTCTGGTTACCACAGGGGCTGGATGGGAGTCTCATTCGTGAAACAGAGCTGAAGACAGGGGGCACACCTTAATGCAAACTATCCTCAGAAGCACCTTCTTTACCTTAACAGATCACCATCACTCTGCAAGATTTTAAGGAAAGACATTTTGCATCCAGCAAAATGCATTTTACTTTGCCCAACGGCAGTAAAATGACACCAAAAACAAAAATCAGGTACAGTACATACATTAGTGTATGACAGTCGCCTTCGCTCCAGAAACCATTTGACCTTCAATACATGCAAACATCAGCACAGCTCAGCATGACAGTACTGCACATACAATGCCACCAGTGCCTGCAATCTGCAGAGGCTTCGGAGTTCTGATAAACCCACACGGGCACACGTGTCAGTGACCAGCGCGACCTCGTGAAGACCACAGGATGACGTACCTTCGAGAGCGTGTAAGTGAGTGCAGGAAATATATCCCACGATTCTTTGGTCCTGAGGAGTGGATCCCACCTGCACCTGTCAGGAGAAAGGAAGAACCAGAATCAGAAAAAAAGAGAAGGACTAGGAGGATTGACTGGACTGACAGAACAAAGCATGGTCTTATGTTTTCTATAGTTTTGCTAGTTCTGTGACCAGTGCCAACATGGGAGATGGTGTGCATGTTGGTCACTTGTCTCAGGCAAACAGGAGAGTGATGCCTGTTGGTGGGTCTGTAGGAGTGATAATTCCAGATGATTAAACTGTCTATGGAGCCAGCCCCCAGATGGCTTTGCAACACGAAGGCAGGATTAATGCTAAATGCTTGTTTCTTGAATTACAAGGCTTTGCCACGTTCGGTGCAGAAAGGAAAGGAGTGGTGCTTTCTTTCCAATGAGGTCAGCTAGTCGGCTAGTAAACTGTGTCTGTTGCTGCAATAAAGTCTCAAGCAGTGCCAAAGCGGTGGCAGTGACACACACACTGGTATTGTGTGTTTGTGCATTGCACAGCAGAAGAAGATCCAACTATTCTGCAGCATAGGCGTTACTGTAACTACCTGGGTGCTCTGGGTATTGAGCTCCATCTGGGAAATAAAAGAGAGGTGCAGCCACCCCAAGGTTACAGTGACTGATTCACCCGTTTGATATCAGGAAAATAAATAGCAGCATTAATCTTCAAGTCACAGGGTCGTCTGCCTTTTTTATTATAGCAATTGCACATCAGATTTCTGTTTATTTAAAAAGAAAGTTTCCCTGTTAAGCATTTAAACTTTTTTAATTTGAAGTAAAGGTGGTTGATTTGATTCAACCATCTGCACAAAAGCAGGCTAGGAGGTGCAGACCTCAGTGTTGCCTTAATGCAAATTTATTTCGAGTTCTCCAAAAGGTGGTTTGATTTGCAAAATAGGTGATTTGCCCTAACAGAGAATCATGAGAGCAAATCCAGTCGTTTTATTACATGAATAAATTGTTTTAATGAAACTGATGTGAGTTTTGGAAGTGAAATTCTTTTTTTTTTAAAAAAGCATTATTGAGATTAAAAAACACTGTATTACTATTTCATTTTAAATTAGCACTACTTATAGTTCTCATTTTTAATGCCTCTTATGATAATGATGATGAAACTGCAGGGGGTAGTTCTGTTTCATTTGTACTGGCTTCAGTGTGTGGGTGATGGATTGTTTCACATGCATGGAGCATGTGCCCGTGCTTATGAAAGGCAGTGTTTTTTCTCCAGGGTGTCTCATCCACAAACATCATCACAGTTCTATGAACCCACGGCCTGCCAAAAGTTATCCATCTGGTCACTCTTTTTAATTCAGAAGTGCTCTTCCACTTTAATTCGCTTGACTTTATTAGTTCTGACCCAGGATTTGTCCATACTGCAGTTGATTCTCTGTGACTCTAAGGCTGCAACGGAAGAATTTTCTCCATCTGGAAGTGTTGCAAAACTATGGAGACACTTAAGAGCCCAACCGAGAAGGGAAATCTAAAAACAAAAAAATAATTCTCTCTATGCCTTATATAAGTTACGGTAACAGTGTCAACAACATGGCTGGGCCGCTTGTTCCAGACTCCCACAATCCTTTGTGTGAAGGCCTGTCTGCTGTTCTCAGTTTTAAATGCCCTTCTCTATAGTTCTTAAATGTGTCCTCTGAAGTAGACATAATCACTCAGCGACAGAACTTTAAAGCTTATTTCATCTGCATTTAACCATTCAGGCACTATGATGACTCTAATCAGCTCATGATTACTGGGCTCTGTCTGAATCTGAGTTTGACCTGACTACCATGACAGAGGCCCAGCAAAAATATCCCAGAAATAGATTATTACATCTAGTAATTCCCCAAAATAATAAGTGTATTTCAACATAAAATACGTTTTTAAAAAACAGAATACTTTATATTGATAATATAGACTACATCTGTCATCAAAATACCTGTACATTTAAATTCATATCATTATACAAGTATACTTGTTGTCCACATACAGTATGTTTATAAAGCCCTTCATGTAAACAAACGGCAATGGCTGCTTTAATGCTTCCTGTTGAACTTAGTGTTATGACAAGGTTACACACTAAATATTGAGCTTCAGCCTCAAAACCTTGCAAGTTCACTACATTTCCTGATGCATTTCTTTATGGATTCAGATTTATTTTCCTTTTTTAAAGATTCCGATAGATCTGGGATACGTTTGCGTATCTCCTATTAGATCCTATTAGGCTTCTCAACCCCAGAGGTATTATGGGAGCTGCTGCGTCTGTCACCTGTCACGGTGAAGTGGAACAGCATCCATGAAGCTTTTGTTAAAAGCAATACTGCAGGAGACGCTGGATCAGTCCCTGACCAATGTCCTTTCTCCGAGCGTGTGATAGATGCTGATAGACAGCAGTGCTAACGCTAAGTCTATTGTATATTAATCAGCCACAGACAGCAGCGCTGTGAGAGGCACTGTTAGATGTTGACTGACAGGATGCTACAGCAGAACCAGCGTTGAGGGAGTGATGGATGGCAGTGCTGATGCAGTGACTGTGTGTGTCACAGAATCAGTGACAGTCCGTGGCCATGGCCAAATCTGTCTATTTATAGAGCAGTTCAAGTCTGGCTTGTCTGAAAGGCTGCTTGCCGAGGCCAAAACATTGGAGGTTCCTAACAATTTGGCCAGTGATCATAGATCATAGCATAGCAACGCTGTTTTTATATTTCAGTGTTAGAAAGAATCAGCATTGGTGAGGGCATTTCAAACCACAATGAAAGTAAAATGTACATAGTAACTTGTAAAACCTCCAATTTACATAAAAAACAGACAACATTTCCAAGTATGTGCAGCACCATATTCTGTGATTTCGAATAAGGTAACAAAACGACTGGTGACGTGATGTGGCCCCATGACATTGGAAAGATTCACATCTCTTTTAATCCAATAGAAATATTGCTCTTGGCTTTGAGATGGTTTTGCTGACAAATACTACTTGTTAACTGTGCATGCAGAGGATGTTGAAACTTTTCGCCAGTGAGATGTCTGCTGCACAACCTGTACTTATTCGCTCCTACAATGCATTTCATTAGCCATTACAGTGACTAGTGAGCAGGCAGTGGGGCCGAATCGTGTTATAATTCACGGGATCCAGTGGTGAGACCAGGGGTTTGCAACTACATTCACAATTTTGAGCTTAACTTGAAATGTGTTAAATTTTTCTCTTAAGTTAATATATTTGTTTTTTTTTTTATGGAGATTTAACAAAACCGGCCTGAGAAACTGGAACTGCCTTTCCCCTTTAAACAAAGCAGGGCAAACACATTTCTAAAGCTAAAACTCTCTGGGTTGCTTACCAGGAATAAGTTGATTTTCTAATAATTGATATTTATATTTAAATAATTTTCATACCTATTGATATATTGAGAAAGCTGACTTTACTGTAGCTGTACGGACACAAATTTTAGGCTGTCAGGTGCAGTGAGCAGGGAACTTCAAGCCAACGTGTGTCAGCAGTACAGTACATTGTTCTTTAAAATGAATGAATATTGAATGAACACAAGTGCTGGCGAGTGGTGAATAATTAATTTATGTATCTTTCAATACCATAGGGATGTTTGGAAAATGCATATTTTATTCCCTTGGTTTCCTATGAAAACATAACAACATGAAAGAGGTAACAAACAAGAGGAAACCATTCAGCCCATGTACTGTAACACCACCCCCTATTGACTAATGGGTGAAACAGACAATGACAAACGCCCTTATCATTTACTGCCTGGAGGTATTCAACAAGTATTGACTGGATATTTCCTTTCAAATCCATCCATGCATTTGCCAACCTCTTCTTCCAATTCAGTGTCGTGGTGGAGCTGGAGCATATCGAGGCAAGCAATGGGCACAAGGCAGGGTGCACCCTGAAACAGACGCCGGATGGACTGGGGGAGAAAACAGGAGCACCTGAAGAAAACCCACAAGAACACGGGGAGAACATACAAACCTCATGCAGAGAGCACCCCCAGGAATTGAACTCAGGACCCCAGCACTGAGTGTCAGCAAAGCAAACCACTGCGCCCCCTACTGTACAGCCATTCCTTTCATATACAAATCTCAATTATTTCTAAAGTCATCTCATATTTTTTTCATGCCATTATTTTTGCAATACTGTTTTCTTTTCCTCTTTCGGAGAGAGGTGTTTGCAGTGCCCAGGCCAGTAGTGGACAGTAGTGCTGTACTACAGTATGGCCCAGCCTAGATGTGTATTCAGTACTCTACTGCAGGTAGAGCTGGTAACAAAGCCTCTAAATAGTGTAACACAGCTCCAAACAGTGGGATACGCTGGCCTTACCAACACCATTGTGAAAAGGCTAGACTACTGTACTTATGAAATCTGTCCCTGACAAAAACACTTCAAATTTACACAACTGAAGTCTGAGACAGCACGTATAGGAACGTACACTTTACAGTAGTTGTTCCTTTCTTTTTCAAAGACCTAGAGTTCAGGAGAAGACTTTTTAAGTGGCCTCAATGATGTCTGTGAGTATGGTAACTGCAGTTGTGAATCAGTGAGCAGTCACACGCTGATGAGGTGAGAATGTGCCTGGTACTTTTCGGGGATTGAGACAGATGCTGTTGCTACATGGCGTGTTGAGGGATACATGCTAATGGAAGGGACAGGCCAGGACAATGAGTGCCATAAATCCTGCCTTGTTTTGCCAGGACAGTCTATGAGATCCTATGTCACAACGAACTAGATGAAACAGAAACTGTGTTCAACAAAGCAACTAAATGATATTAAATGTCAATAGAGGGATGTATATACATCACTGGGCACTGCGAAAGCAACTAAATTGCCTTTTAGCCTCACGAACACAGAGAGGATTTATTACTCTAGCGGACTGCCAGCACTTTTCTGGAAATCGATTCCGTCACTGGCCTTGCTATCTGATTAGTAATAAAAATGTTTTCAGCCCCCAAGCACACAGATAAAATCATTTAACCCTTTCATTGTCTACCAGGAAAAAAGGCCTAGAAAATATCTAAACCGTCAAATATCTATAA